AAATGATGAAATCGAAAAATTAAAAAAATTTATTAAAGATAACTATCAAGCTAAGCCTAAAGATGAAGGTGAAGAATAATAATCATGTTTGACTACATATCACATAGCTGTTTGTAATAAGTAATTAATACAAAAGCGATATACAAAAAGATTCAAAATCCTGAAACAATTATTAAAAACACTTTTAACAAAAATTATATGACACTCGCTTGACAGATAAATTAAAAAAAAACATATAGATTCCATATTTTGTACAACATTGTATTATTATACATGCGCTGATGAAATGTGCTATCTACATTAAACAACCATTGTTGAAAACATGCACTAAGACACGCGCGCCGCTACTGATATTTTAATAACACTTGATTATTAACACTTGATTATTAAAGACGGTTTTTTGAAGAGCATTTTTTAAGCCTCTGTTATTCTCGAATATTCTTCGAATATTCTTCGAATGCTACTTCGAAACCCGATTTTTCACTTCGTGAAAAATTTCCCCACCTGGGTTTCGAGAATTCTCGGGCATCCCATTCCCCTGCTCGATCACTTCGTGATCTGCGCTGCCGGATGCCCTCCGAAACGATGCTTGTTAACATTTGTTTGTAAAGACCGTTTTTAAAACATATAGATTCCATATTTTGAAAAGATGTTTTATTAACACTTGATTTCTAAAGATAGTTTTTAAAGAGCATTTCTTAAGCCTCTGTTATTCTCGAATATTCTTCGAATATTCTTCGAATGTAAGGGCGAGCCGAAAATTCTAGCAAAGCTGAATTTTTCCCTCAGGCTCGCATGAATTCTCGGCGATCCCATCCCCTGCTCAATTTAGCTACGCTAAAATTTGCGCACCGGATCGCCTCCGAAACGATGCTTTCTTAACACTTGATTTCTAAAGATAGTTTAAAACATATAGATTCCATATTTTACCTTTGAAACAATGACTTTTTTCACAGCTTTCTTACATGACCTTTTACTGAGGGACGCCTTTTGAATCATGGTCTTATTTTATGCTGTTATAAAGAAAGTTTTTACTACTATATTGAAACAAACAATTTTTTACACAGCTTTTTTACATGACCTTTTTACCAGAGGGACGTCTTTGAACCATGGTCTTATTTTAAGCTGTTATAAAAATAGTTTTTACCCAAGGTTATATGTAGTATAGTACATGGGGGGATATAGCGCACTTTTAGTGCGCTAGAACCCCCATGTACTATACTACTTTCACGTCGAAGAGATTTGGAACTGGATGATCTTGAAACTCTCTGGCTTCAAATTTGTCCTCATAAATCAAAGAGACCGATTTTGATATCTGGTGTTTACCGTCCACCTTCAGCCAACAAAGATTATAATGAGAGTTTGGGTAAAAATATTGAAAATGCCCATCTCCAAAACAATGAATTGATTATTCTGGGAGACTTCAATTTAGATTATATTGATTTCAACTGTTATTCAAAACATTGTCTCGCGAAGGCACTGAACAGTCTTGGATTAACGCAGATGGTAAATAGAGTAACAAGACCTGCCTCTTATGCGTGCTTAGACCATATTTATTCTAGTCATCCTGTTAGAATTAGAGAAGTAGCCATAGGTAAATCTGGACTTTCCGATCACCTTCCGGTCACCATCTTGAGGTGCTACAAAACCATGGATGCACAACGTAAACACCATTTCAAAATCAAATACAGAAATATCGACAAAATCAACAAAGAGTGCTTTCTGCGAGACATAAGTGAAACCCCTTGGGATATCTCCTTTGTTTTTCGAGATGCCGATAACATTGTTGAATCTTTGTACAAAATCTTTAATGACATTCTTGATAATCACGCACCTTTAAAGTTCAAGAGTGTGAAGAAAATCAATCAGCCGAAATGGTTCACTAATGATCTATACAACGAAATAAATAAACGCGAAAATCTTCTAAAGAGGGCCAGGAGAACACAAAATGAACAAGATTGGTCTGCTTTTAAACTGATTAAAAACAAGATGACGAGGAAACTAAGAAATGCGAAGGAACAGCACTTTAAAACTCAATTCAGTTAAAGTCAAAAATGTCTAAAGAAACTTTGGTCTTTAATTAAAGACCTATTTAAAGATACAAGGAACAATGACGACTCCGTCCCTATTGCTGACGAAAACAACAACCTGATAAAGGATGACCATTCAATCGCTGAACGCTTTAACCGCTTTTTCGCTGATGTATATAAACGTCTTATAAAAGGGCACCTATACTTCATTATGATGCTCTTCCTGGTCCACCAGACAAATCTAACAGTCAAATTGAGAATCTTATTCCGCAAATAACTCCTTGTGAGGTTAGAGATTATCTTCTAAGTATACCTACACACAAAGCCACGGGAATCGATGGGCTTGGTGCCAGAGTTCTAAAGATTGCAGCTCCTGAAATATCATGCTCCATAGCTAAAATTATAAATCACTGTATTGAAACTTGTACATTTCCCTCACAATGGAAAATAGCAAAGGTTAAACCACTATTCAAGAATCAAGGAAACAAGCAAGAAATTCAAAACTATCGTCCTATCAGTATTTTGCCTATTCTTTCTAAAGTCTTTGAAAGACACATCTTCAATGCAATGAACACCTACTTAACAGAAAATGCACTTTTATACCGCTTCCAATCAGGGTTCCGTAAAAACCACTCCACGGATACTGCTTTATTGTTTCTTCTGGACCAAGTCCTTCTTGACCTTGATAAGAACAATGTCAGCGGCTTAGTCTTTGTGGACTATAGCAAGGCATTCGACTTGATCAATCATGACATTCTCCTAGTAAAGTTAAGATCATATGGATTCCCAGATAATGTTGTAAAGCTATTGCAAAGCTATCTACTCAATCGCAAACAGTGTGTCACTGTAAATAACTCGACTTCGTCACAACTTATGCTAACCAATGGAGTTCCTCAAGGTAGCATATTAGGACCTCTACTGTTTTTAATTTTCGTCAATGATCTTCCCGAAGCTGTTGGATCGGACTCAACTATTCATGCTTACGCGGATGACACCACATTTAAAGCCAGCGCTAATATCGATAATGCACCTTTGGAATTGGAACGACGTCTTCAAGAATACATGGATAAATTAAGTAAATGATCTAGCGAAAATGGGATGGTCCTAAAAACCAAAGCATTACTTATCACGGGAAAGAGGCTACATTCATCATTAGTTGATGGCAATCACCTGTCAGTGACCATTGATGGGGCCGAAATAGAACAAGTAACTTCTTATAAATTGCTTGGTGTAACACTCGATCAAGATCTTACATTTAGTGACCACATTTCTAGCCTAAAGGCCAAGCTTTCTCAGCGTATTGGTTTATTGAAAAAGATAAAGAGATACCTTCCAATAAAGAAAGACTTTTATACTATAGCATTGATTAAACCCGTCCTTATGTACGGGGCATGGTTTGGAATACCTGCGACGTTAAAGAACTCCACTGTCTCTAAGGTTACAGAAAGGGCTGCCAGTAATTCTTGGAGTAGACCCTTATTCTAGAAGTGTTGTAAAATTTAGTAAACTAGGCTGGTTGCCTTTTTTTGACGAAATTAAACTAAACAAATGTACCATGAATTTTAAGAGCCTCAAATGTGATGTTCCGATTTACATCAGAGATTTGCTCAAGACGAACAGTTCTGCACACAATAGGTCTACCAGACATGGCAATTTAAATTTAGTGTGTCCCAAATACCTAAGAAATAACGATGGTGGCAAGGCATTCAGTGTTGACGCAGTTAAGTTATGGAACAGCCTTCCCCATGATATCAAGAAAAAGCCTAGTATAAAACTATTCAAAACAGCTGTGAAAAAGCATTTTATAAGCTCATATAAAAACCTGGACAACTTTGAAACAGTATTAAGAAATAGCACATTATCTAATTTTAATTTTTTATAAATTAATTTTATCTTTCTGAATATTTTTAATATGTCCTGCTATTTTTATCATAGAATTTTGTAATTATTTATATATTTATTCATTTATCAGTTTTTTGTAATACTGTATAATCTAGTTAGAGGGCCACAGGTTTGTCAGCTTTTCAGCTGTTACGTGTCCCCCTCTTCAAATAAAGTCCTTACTATTAACAGATAGCCTAGACGATCGAGAAGATAGCATAGATTATTGAGAGATAGACTAGAACATTGAGGGCAGCATGGGTCAATAATGAGTAACTATAAACATTAAGATATAGCCTTGATCCACCGCGAGACCAGCAAGGGTAAAAAAGATAACTAAGGGATAACTTAGATCCTGAGAGGTTAACTACAATTGTCGAACAACTAGTTACGATTAAGAACATTAACGTGTGTATAAGAAAATAATGGAGTACCTTCGATAAATAGGGGATACAGAGTATAGAAAGATGGAATCTTGATGGAAACAAAAATTCTTCAGTGTAGCCGATATCAAAAGAGGGGTACAATAGATCATAAAGCGATAACTTATCGAAATGTATAACAATATTAAGTTTATACTCGCTACATCCGAGTTTCTTCAGTTTCATAAAGACGTTAAAACTCACCAAAATTATCGTCCACCTGAGAACCAGGTTTAAAGTAAAGATCCCTACTTCATTCAACCATACATTTAAGAATAGAAACAAGACATTCCAGACCTTTGATACGAATACTGGGTTCTTGAACCTGAAAAAATTATAGAAAAATAAGACGACATTGATACTAATCATATAAAAACGTGATAAAACATGTATTATAATCAACATTGTCAGCACAAAATAGTAGAGACAGGTTCCTTTTTATGTTGATAGACTGTGCTCCAGTTTTTTCATGTTGATAGACTAGTATCCAGTCCTTTTCATAAGAATAGACTACGTTCCAGTCCTTTCCGAGTGGCATAGATATGAACAAGAGAATCTAGAGAATGCAAATTGCATTGCACCATTAACTCACTGGATACATATGACATTACCCTCTTTAAATTTCTCAAGGATATATCATTTCTCTCATTATATACTTTAACAGTAGGACATTACTTTTATAAATACCTTTATAATTTGTATTTGAACGTTTACATCAGTATTTATACCAGTAAAGCAAATAGAAATAGTCTCGATAATTCTGTCAATTAAACGCCTCTCTGGTTTAATGGAGTCTGGTGTATCGCGAACAATATGACCATAAGCAATGAGTTTCTAAGAACAAAGAATCTAAGAACACATGTGAAGTTTCTAAGAACACATGTGAAGTTGTAAGGCTTGGGGATGAGTACTGTTGATAGAGGAATAAAGAATGGTTATGAAAAGACACATGTGAAGTTGTGAGGCTTGGGGATAAGTACTGTTGATAGAGGAATAAAGAATGGACGAAAAGACACATGTGAAGTTGTGAGGCTTGTGGATGAGTAATGTTGATAGAGGAATAAAAATTGTTGTGAAAAGACACATGTAAAAGTTGTGAGGAGCTTGAGGGATGAGTACTGTTGATAGAGGAATAAAAGAATGGTTTGAAGACACATGTGAAGTTAATGGGGCTTGGGGATGAGTACTGTTGATAGAGGAATAAGAATGGTTGTGAAAAGACACATGTGAAGTTGATGAGAGGCAGGGATGAGTAATGTTGATAGAGGAATAAAGAATGGTTGTGAAAAGAAACATGAAGTTGTGACAGCTTGTGGATGAGTAATGTTAATAGAGAATATATAGAATAGTTGTGAAAGACACATGTGAAGTTGTGAGGCAGGAATGAGTACTGTTGATAGGAATAAGAATGGTTGTGAAAAGACACATGTGAAGTTGTGAGGCTTAGGGATGAATACTTGTTGATAGAGATAAGAATGGTTGTGAAAAGACACATGTGAAGTTGTGAGGCTTGGGGATGAGTACTGTTAATACATAGGATACTTAATGACAATTTCTAAGAGAAATTTACAGAGTAACAACAAAGAAAATAAAGAACATTTGCTATAAAATTGTAATAACAATAGCAGTACGATGAAAGAGTTTACAATATTACATCTATTTCTTACAACTAAAGACTCCAAGTGTCCTAACACATCAAACAAAAACAACTTACTTGTATACAGTCAAGTGCAATGGTGACAATCCTGGCACATTTTGTTTAACAAGCCAACTCAAAAGGAAGAAAATATTGATCTGATGTAATGAATGTTTGCTGACCAGGTAGTGGAGGTAGAGTTGCAGAAGAAATATTCCTGAAGATTTTATTATAAATAAATCAAACCAACATTCTGGTTTATAAATCTAACTTTTGAACAATAAAACTCAGCAAATTTGTGAGCATGCTGGTCTGGATATAACTGTGAATTTATTAAAATTCAAGGTTAGTAACTCATTTTGGTCATGTTAAAATTCGAAAATTGGAAAGAAAATTGGACAACTTTACACAACTAAACTTACCCTTCAGACTTTTCATTTCCTTGAACAGCGTTTATTTCCTCTAGAATAGATCAAAATCATAAAGCGATCATTTTGTAAAGCAACATTCCTGAACATGGTACATTATATTCATTGCACACGTTGACATAGATTTCTAAATAACATATATACATATTTCAAACAGAAGAACATGAACAAGATTGACACTAAAAAGCATAACTGTTTGCAAGTATAAAAAGTACAAATCATACATTGAGCAATTTTAAAGATACTATAAACAGCGTTCGTTGACATCTTGAATGAAGATTACTACACTTAATGTTTTGTTGATAGCAAATGTAAAGGCGGTTGACAATACATAAAACATGGAAACAAATAGAATCAAATACATCAGCAACAACTACAATCATTACTTATGGTTTTACCTAAAGCCGTTTCCGCAAACTTTCTTTAGTTGTGAATGATGAGACTTTTCGTTCTTTATCGAGGGAAATTCTTTGTAAAGCACAGATGAGGAGCACGTTCTTTGTTTTCACGTTTTTCTGCATGACTGAATGATTTAAAAGTTCAAAGATGAAAATAAAACATTACTAAAGGCATCTCTAGCGAATTTACTATTCCACTGGAATTCCGCCATCTTTCTATGTTCCATTCCATTTAGTCACGGACTGTAAGGAATAGTGAACCCATAACGTCATCAAGATGTTTTTGCATATGGGAATTGTTGACAGTATAAAACATTTTCTGTCTTTAGTGGTTATATCACAAATTTAATTCCCTTTTATGAGCTTAATCGAAAATTTGATTATTTGAAGAACTATGACACGTCGCTGGACTTAAACAGATAAATATAAGTTGCTTAATTTTGCCTCCAAAGTCGGGTACTATTTGCGAATTTTTACGACGCCATATTGATACTTTAGACGTAGATAGTTGAACACGTCTGTTTCCGTCAATATAATATTATATTATAGAAGGTGATTTTGTTGTCGTTTTTCTTGTCTTAAAACAAATAATGACAGTATTTTCAATAAAATATTAAAAACAAGTTGTCCGGAAAGTATATTCTCAAATCAGTGCTCAGATAATTCGAATTGATGTCTGAATGCGTATCTGATTCGAGCTCGGAATCCGTGGTTATGTCGAGCATTTAAACGACTTCGCATATGACGATGAACCGCTAGCAGGAGATGGTGATGAAGTGCATACTCCAGATGATCCCGATGGAATTCTCCTGCGACATTAGAACAACGAAGTGATGGCGTAATTCCACTCGGTGAATGGTAAGTTGTTGTTTTCTCCTGTTTGTAATATACATAAAGTTACTTTATAAACCAGAATGCTCCCACGTTTCAGGTGTAATTGTCAATGCTGTCATACCGATTTGTTAGAAGGCGCATTAGAGTACAGATGCTGTAAGGAAATTGGACCAGCTTGCAGAAAGTGACATTCGATGGCAGCATTGAGAAAATATCATGCATAACACAGCATGCCAAATTTGGGCCTTGAAGTTCATGAGGCTGTCCTTGAAAACGTCGGCCCATATTGAGAGATAGAATGGACGTGCTTATCGCCGCCACATCACAATCATTAAATATGTAAGATTGTAATTGTATGAGAAATAACAATAATCAACATTGTTTCATCAACAATAATTAGTCCAACCTTTGATTTACTTGTACTTGAGAGCTGTGGCATACAGATGGTTGATGCGATTATTTTGTGGGTCTATGGATGGGAGAATGGCCTTACCTGCTTGTGTTTACCACTATTCTGAAAGCATATCCAACAGGTTACATAAATTCATCAGAGGGGCGATGATGGAACAGTCTTTAACTTGTGCACTGTAGAGACTGTTGACCTTCTTTGTTGAGTTTGAAATGGTCAGGAAATGTGCCTAGATGAAACCAAATAGGAGATACATGGATGCACTATATAAGTTGACATGCAGTTTAATGGTTTGAAACAAGAGTAAACAATAAAAACAAATTGGTGCAACTACTGAGAGGTTAAGCTGAAAGAATTGTAATGAAGGAATATCTTTTCTTTATTGGTCAGTCTGGAAAAGACAAAGAAAAATATATATGGAATTAAATCATAGCATAAATGTAAAAATGGAAAATAGCAAGTCCGTTCAAATGGCGAATCGTTTGCTTCCCCAGTATACTTTAAACATGCTCAGCTTGTCACTAGTAGATGGTACTTCCTCATTGAGAGAACATGTTTCCTTCAGCGATGGCTTATGGAGAGTATGCTGAATAATCTACAAAACTTATATCGAATTTACATATGACAAAGAAATTAACATAAACAAGCGTAAACTTACTTGTCTTCGCTTTCGATCGGTTATTTCGTCCTGTAATGGTTCAGGAATCCAGCCACGTCAATGGTTAGTCAATGATAGCATCTTCTTCGACCTTCTTTGAGCTTGACTTACACGCTAAATTAAGGTCAAACAAGAATCTTCAAAATGCGCAGAACACAGACACGAGGTAGAGGAAGCCTCAAAACCCGGTCTATGTTTACGCACAAAATTTAACCCATTTTCTATGTCTTTGCGGCTCTGTTTCTTTTAGAAACAGATGCATCGACGTTCCTTCGGTTTTGAATCATTGGCGCAACTAATTTGATTAGGTCCGCCAACATGTTTCCATGCCTTCTTATTAAGATAACTAGTAGAATACGCCATGTTGATATATGTGTTCAACTTTTACGTCACAAGTCAATAGCATACCGATCAAAACGTTCGCAAAAATAAGGAAAATCGTGATTTTGAACGTCCGTAAAATCACTTCTACCAATCCATTTCAATTATAATTGCAGATTTAAAATCACTGAAACAAGGTCTTTCAATTTAGCTAATAAAAGAGGGCTAAAATTCGCATATAAACCACTTTAAGGTCAAATTTACATAATAAACGTTACAGAAATGATCTCACATTTTTCAACTAATGACCATAAAACCCAATGACATGACATGACATCATGATGGTGTTTTATAAATGTGAATTCTTAACCCCATTTAAAAGTTGTTTCCACGATATTAACATGCGTAAGGTAAGTTTTATTTACAGTTTTTGAAAGAATGTCTAAAGAAAGTCACTCTATAATTTCAACAAAATAATCTTCATTTACAACAACACCATATTGTCAAATGACTCACAATGAATGAGTTGTCGACATTCTTTCATTTCTATGTAGTGAACGTTTAATATATAATAAAAATAACCAAATTATCTGACCATACATTTGTATTAAAAAGTAAACCATCATCATAAAGTTCGTTCAGAGATCAAAGGTTTCTCACTTTTGGTAATTTCACATGTAAAACAAGCGACCATCCTTACGACAATCAACATCTTCGTGTGATATTCTCAATTTCATCACAACTTTGACAATGTTACAGTGTTGAATTCTTCAAATATAAATTTGAAAGTTGACGGGAATCATAGGATGAAAAAGATCTTTACTTGACATTACAAAAACTAATCTCTCTCTCTGTCCGTGATATTTTTACATAATCATAAACTGACAGTTTTTCCACGGTTAAAACAAAGGATATGGACAATTTTTTCTGCAATATTTTTGAGTTCGTTGTTGATACCATAAATAACTGTCCTTTTGTGATATAAAGAACTTTTTATGTTGGTTTTAAGTGATATGTAATGTTAGTAAATACGTTAGATTAATATAATTACAAAGGTTGAATTAGTGGATTCTGAAGATTGAGTTTAAAATTTAATTCCGCATCCACCATTTGTTACTAAAGCTAAAGTTGCTGTTTTTGAATGAATAGTTGTATTAAATTTAATATTGAATAAATCAGTACCTAATTGGTAAAATTCAGCACATATTTTACCACTCTTTAAATCTACAGCAACCATTTTGCCAAACGATTCACCAATGAAATATGATTTATGTACGATTGTGCGAAACCGTAATGATTCATTGATATTATGCAAAATCGTACTCACGTCATTGTTTTATGCACATTAATTACATAAATGCCAGTTTTCTGGTGACATTGTTGTTCCAAACAGGAATGCAATAACCGCTTGGTTACTATCACTTATAAAGAAACTGACTCTTTAAGATAAGTAAAATTTCTCTGTTTCCAATCAAATTCTTTCAATAAAAGACGTTATGGGCATTTCTGCAGTGTGCCAGGGTTCCAAGTAAAGTTCATTGTTGTCATTTCCCCATTTCCATAATGTGTATTCTGTTTTGTTTGCAGTTAAAATAACAGAATTATCAGGTGATACAGCTGCTTTTAAATTCAAAACTATTGACAGGAAGTCTTTTGTTGTATTGTATCACACCTTGTAATTCTAACAACTTGAACAAAACCTTTATGGTCTTTACAAACTAAGACATCACCAAATGTTAAGATTTTCTTAGGTTTAAATCCAATGTTAACACGCTTTGCTTGAGTAGAAACTACAAAATTTTCAGATGAAGTTGATATCTTCATAAGATGATCAGAGCCATCCCATATCCACAGTAAACCATCCGACCACCAGCATCCTTTTGCATTCCAAAGGTGTATTGGTACAGTTTGAATAATAGTGCAACGTTCAATGCTCCAAATATGAATGTTGACGTGGTCACCAACAGCGAAAGCAGCAAAAAAAGATCCATCCGGTGAAAAACAACAACATTTAATTTCAAATTCTCAAAGATAAATGAAGGTCTCCAAAGATGATCAGTTTTGAAAATTTTAAGCTTGGAAAAATACGGCACAACGTAAAATTTCTTAAACGAGATTGGATGGACTTTTTTAAGAGTCCTACGAACACATGGACACCTGACATTTGATAAACG